AGCTTCAAAATCGCCCCGCCCCCAACCGCCTCCCTAACCTGTCCGTCCTTTCTCCTACCTATCCAATCCTCCCACCTCAACCCCCATCCCCACCTCCTACCTACCAGCTTCATCCCCACTTCCTTGACCTGTCCGTCTTCCCTGGACTGACCAACCCCCACCTTAACTCCCCACCCACACTCACCTTTACTGGCTCCATCCCCACCTCCTTGACCTGTCCGTCTCCTCTCCACCTATCTGCTCCTTTTTCCATCTTACATCTGCCTCCCCCTCTCTCTCTATTTATTTCAGAATCCCCTTCCCCTCCCCCATTTCTGAAGAAGGGTCCAGACCTGAAACGTCAGCTTTCCTGCTCCCCTGATGCTGCTTGGCCTGCTGTGTTCATCCAGCTCTAACCTTGTTATCTCAGATTCTCCAGCATCGGCAGTTCCTACTATCTCTTTTAAATGTTAGTCTTCTTTCTCTTTTTTTTAGCAGTCAGTTTTTTTCTTACTTATTAACATGTTATCATGACCAACTATCATGATATATGCTTAATCCTACTCCTACTATATTGCTATATTTATGTTATGTTTGATTGTTCCATACATTTTGGTACACTGTCAGCATTATTTGACTATTTGAACACTATCCTGAACTCTAATTGCAGACTTTCTTCAAATTACTTCTTGCTTCTGAAATCAAAAGGCATGGATTTCCCTTTAATTATTTTAGTTGATCAAGATTAAAACACTGCCTCAGGCAAACTTGACTCCTTCAGTCAGCCATAATAAAAATTGTCATTTTTACTAATAACAAAACAGACGAAGTCACTGCCATTTCAAAATTCTTTGGATTTTCAAATTTGATCTGAACCTTTCACTTTCCAATCTCGTTTTTATTGTTCTGTCATTAAGCAGAGGAACTTTGAAATCATTATTAGATCATTTTCCAAGGTGCTGTCTCCTGATGTCCACTACTATCTAATATTACTGATCTGAAAAAGGGTTCATCTAATTGAAACTTTTCTTTAGTGTCGACCATAGCTTAAATGGTACTTTACATTTAGCAGTCTTTACATCTCCAGATTGTTTGCACATTGTTATGTATTGTTTTACTGTGAATGGTAAGACTCAGGGTGAAATAAAAATGTTGATTTTGAACTGTTGATTGCAATGTATTTTTGAACTATATAATTCTCACCATAAGTTAACCTATGTTCACATGCACCCTAACAGCCAGTAATCAAATATAATTTCCAAAGTCAAGGAACCAGGAACACAACCTTCCAGGCTTACCTGTAACTTTTAGAAGGGCAAGTGGATTTAAATGAGCATAAGACAAAAAAATCAGTTTCCTTAAAGTGGGTTAAGATAAGTTTTCAGAATCTTTCAGGCAGGGAGGCTTTCCCAGTGGAATACATTTTGCACTCATTAGCATCCCGTGAACACTTACTAACAAGTCCGCCTACAGAAATTACACTCAAATCCTGTTAGGCAAAAACAGGAAACATTGTGTATTATATACAGTGTGTACCTGGCAGGATAGACATCTTCCTTCAACCTGCAGTGAGTAGAATGTCTTCAATAACTCGGCACCTTCATAGCCAAGCCATTTCTTAGTGTAAGCGCATACAGGGCAAAGCCTGACTGAGTCAATCAGTTGACAAGAGACCTCAGTCATATCCAGGCCAAGCAGCATCATAGGAGCAGATGCTGCTTGGCCTGCTGTGTTCATCCAGCTCTACACCTTGTTATCTCAGATTTTCCAGCATCTGCAGTTCCTACTATCTCAGTCATATCCAATCTGGATTGTTATTGTCAAATGTTTACAGTGTAAGGAATGAAGTGTCACCAGGTCAACAAGGACATGGAATGGAGCCATTATGCAGGCTGTAGATTCCAAGCTTGTGGGACAGTGTTGCAGGGAATAATGAAGGCCATCAAATGTCAGATTAAACTAATTGCCACCTATGTGGAAAGCAATGCCAAGATCAAGGTGACAAAAGTCTTGGAAATGGCAGATTGGAAGTGGAAAAGCAGGCATGCGTCACAGAGGATACACCTCACTCTATAAAGGAGGTTTCTGGGCAGATTTTCATCCAACACTGGTGCAAACTGATGAGGCACAAAGTGCAGATTGACTAAGTCAGGAAATCAAACATGGAAAACAAACATCTCATTGCTGATATTTCTTCACAAATTGGCATTCCCAAACCAGATGTTTCACTGTCTTAATCCAGTAACCGTACTGGCATTGCTGAAGTTCAGAAGGAGGAGGAGGAGATGAAGAAGGGACAGCCTTCACCATCAGCATGAGGGACATGAGGACCAACGACTGGGGCTGAGGATGAGGAAGAAGAGTGGAACCAGGGTCTTCACCGCAGTCAAATAGTCTACTCAGAGGGGGTATGTTACAACTGCCTGCAGGAGGGTGAAAGGCAATGCTGGAGGTGTCTTCGCATTGTCCCTTACATCTGCCACCTCCTTCAGGCAGATCTGCAGCTGTGATGCTGGGGAGACAGCGCTGGGCCTGTTGGTCTGAAGACCACAGCAGCATTGAACTTTTTGACACCAGATCCTTTCAAACCTCGAGTGGGGACACGTGCGGTATCTCCCCATTGACAAGAGTATTCCTGAGTTAATCACTTTTACAGGAATGCAATACAGTCCGTCTAATTCACTATGGGCCCAGAGAACCAGCGAGCCAATGGACTCACAGCCATCACTGGTCTCCCTCAGGTCTAAGGAGCCATTGACTGCTGGCATGTGGCACTCAGAGTTCCCTGGCACCATCCAGCCGGATTCCCGAGAAGGAAGGGATTTCACTCCCTCAAAGTCCAGCTTGTTTGTGAGCACAGGGAACAATTTCTGTGTGTGTGAGACCACCGTCCAGGGAGCTATCACAATGTTTCCATTACACACAAACCTGAGGTTTGTTGTCAGTGTTGTCAAACTGATGCAAATGAACAAAGTGCCTTATTATGTGTGTACTTGATGTACCTGTGAGGTGGTCATCCTGAGTTATGTTTTGTGGTCATGTCCTTGCCCACGCAAGCCTTCATTGAAACACTATCAGATGTGTTCTCCTGGTTGTAATGAAAGGTCCACAGGCTGATAGCGCATGAACTACTGAAAGTTGTAGCTACTTTTATGTTTTTAGTGTGGCAGATGTGTGTGTGTAATATATATTGGTCTTTTTTAAGTTAACTCGTTCAGGAAAAGCACTCTTGTGATTACCAATTCCTAGCAGCACTTGTAGGATTCTCCAAAATGACCACAATAATCCTAATTGCTTTGTGGCAATTACATTGGGAGGTGGTAAACACACTCTTTTGCTTTGTCTTTAACACAATTCTGAACCAGTGAGAGAAAAAGCACTTATGTAGTGCTTTTCTATGTTGCACAGTGGCTTCGTTTTAAAAGTACTTCATTAGCTGCAAAGTGCTTTGGGACCTCATGAAAGGTTACGAAAGGCACAATATAAATATTTACTTTTACTTTTTTCGGCTTTCGGACGTCACAAAACACCTTACAACTGAAGGCTTCTTTTCGAAATACGATCACTTGTGCAATCAAAGCAAAAATGACAGCCAATCTGCACTCACCGAGGTACTTGCAAGCAGCAAATGAATGAATGAGAGATAACAAGGTGTAGAGCTGGATGAACACAGCAGGCCAAGCAGCATCAGAGGAGCAGGAAGGCTGATGTTTCGGGCCTAGACCCTTTTCTGAAGAAGGGTC